TGACCGGAGTCGCGAGGGACCTGAGAAGGTCTTCAAGCAGCGACACCTACAGCGCTACAGGTTAGAATAAACATAATTAAATGAGGGATAAAATGAATAAATCCTAGGAATAAGTCACAACTGATACATTTACAGCGACATTCGAAATGTATGCGATTATGACACAGTAAAACAGAAAATGTAACTTTCACGGAATAATTACTAACAACTAATAAAAACGCGAGGAAAGCAAGATAAAAGCACAGAAAAAATATAGGAAGGGCAAGTTTGGCGGAATATGCAACTAAAAGCAATATAAGGCAAACAGTAAATCGAAAATATTTACAGCAAATGCAATTTAGGAGACACTTACGAAAAATTGATAGAGTCTAATGAGGAATACAAACAAACAATTACATCTATATAATGTACATAATAAAGAGGAAAAGATAAAACGGCCTGGTCATTGAAAATAATAGCGAACGTAGGTTAAGGGCAATAAGCTATCGCTCTCCACTCTGAACGATTTTTTAACGATTTTAAAGATTGTATTTTTCGCTAAAAGTCTATCACTTTCATTTATTTCAAATATTTCTGCTGGATTTTTAGTATTTAGTTTTTGTCTGCGATGACACCATCAAAATTAAAAACTACTCCACTTTTTAAACTTTCTCACAATTCGATTATCTACTGGTGTTCTAGGTATGAAAAAATTTAAGTTCAAGCCATTAATCTATTTTGAACCCAACTCGAGGACATTTGAAATACAGCTGTTTTAAGCAAATATCAAAATGAGTTTATTGAACCGCCAACTTCACAGCCTGATATCAATTCCACTTTATGCCAAACAAAAATGACATGTGTTATCTGCGTAAAACTTTATCAAAAATATGCATCAAATCATCTTCAACAATCTTCTGGAAAATTGTTGAGTGACGAATCAAGCATGTTATGAAGACAAGCAGGAACTCCGCGACCATGAGATAATATTTAATTTCTTTCTCAGCTGATCTAATTATGATATCAATATTGCAAATTACAACCCTGAAAAATTACATGAATAATGCCAGTAGGAATTTGTCAGAATATTAACTAAAAGCATCAAGATGAAAATTTATATTTCCTCCTATTACCTTTTATACATAACATAATAACAATGACAATTTCACTAACACAGTATATTTTATCAAGTTCAGTGAATTAGTCAATATGAATATACTACAATAATAAAATTTTCGAGAATAATCGATAAAATCATATTTCCTTTATTACAGAGCTTATTGTCTGTTAATCAAGAATTGAAATCATTAAAAAATGATAATATTTCAGACCTCATTGGTTGAAAGGATATTCACAAAAATGAAAATTTCTCAACATCATCATCATCATGTCCAGAATAGAAATATCAAAAGTTGAATAATTGTTCTCAACCTAGAAGGCTACAACAAGTCTGTTATGACGTTATACAGATGATGGTATGGAATGAGCCTCACCTCAAAAATACAAAATGCTAATAATGCATTGGACAACAGTGATCAGCAGTACGGTCATTACTGAGACATGTCTGAATTAACACTACTCCTCCAAACCTAAAAGTTCTGTATTTTCTTTTATTTGTAATAACAGATTAGCAAAAATTTGATATTGGATGGACAGAACTCAATTTGTGCAGTAGGGGCCATGTAATAAAAGCCACTAACCTGAATATTTCATTTACTAAAACACAATTTTATTGGTCAGTTATTCAAAGAATAAAAAGCATGAATAATAATTAAGGCATGCATATCTTCGAACTAGTTATATCAAAAAAAGCAGTGGAATGATAATAATTGAAAAATACAGTGATTTCGAAGGAATGAGCTTTTAATATAAATAACCCCCGCTGGATCATAAAGATGAAAAACTTGAATTCATGTATGAAACTAAAATCAGATAGGCCCCATCATAAACAATTAATGCGAGTTAATGAGAAAGATTTGATTACAACCCATAACATACCAACCATAAAAAATAATATGGGGTAATCCCCTGTAATCTGATATATCACAAAATTGAATAAAATATTGAAAAATGATACATTTTCAAGAATTAGAGATTAAATTGTTGACCATAATTAGGGCTGTCCAAAATCGAATATTTTTTTGATTCGAATCGAACCGAATATTATTGCGCAATCCTAAATTTGTCTCTAATGTACAATAAAACTTCCTCTTCAATATTGTGCTAACGTATGTGCAGTTATATCTAAATTATTGCAAATATTTTGCATAACTATGTTTCCAGAGTTATAAATTTAATGCTTGTAGTTGCTATTTTAGTCCTATTATCATTAGTATTATTAACTCAATATTTTTTGTGTAATTTTCAGTAAAATGATAAACAATTATTAATATAGATATGACTGTTGCCCAAAAAATTCAAAATTGCATTTCGGGAACTCACAAATTCAGAGTTAGTTTGATGACATTAATATTTGATGACCATATTGTTGCTGTACAACAGCCATCAACTCATAAAAGTGCAATTATTTGTCATAATAATAAATGGATGAAACAAAGTATTGCCTATAAGAAATTACAAATTTTATTGGAAAAAGATATTGGACCTTCAAAACGTGTTGCAGTCCTGTACCATGTTCCTATGATTACTGACTCAACAGCTACAAATCGATTCTATTTATAGAACTGGCGATTTTTGCTGACACAAAATTTGCCTTTTTCTCCTTGTGTTCTCTCAAAAAACGTCATCTTTAAATCATTGTTACCGATAACTTTTCATTTATGACGATGCATGGAATGGATAATTACATGTCACCGGGCAATAGGAGAGACCTTTTTACAGCAAAGAAAGCGATAGAAACATGTTTTTGCTCGCCCGTGAAAAACGCGGTGCAAAGGTGGTCGTGAGGCGCATTATGTGCCAAATTTCAGCGATTCGTAAATTGGTCGAAAAACGCTTCGAATAATTTGTGATTGGATTCGATTTCGAATATTTGGTTCGCTTGGACAGCCCTAACCATAATAAATGTAATGATATATATACAAAAAAAAATTAACACAACCAAAATGAAAGTAATTTTCACTCGTCACGTCCAAATAAAATAGTTAATGATTAACTAACCAAGCAATCGAATTATCAATATTGATATTGGCGATCTGAAAAGAAAGATTATTCAAGCTATATCTTCAAACATTCTGTGAATTTGTTCTTACGCTAAATCTATTGAAGAAAAATAATCAAATATAACTTTTTGTCGAAAGAATTATTCGATCTAAATATTACCACACAAGTGATTAATTTACTGGTTTCCATAATTTTGCAAATAAATTTAATTCAGATAAAATCAGAAAAATTGATAGGTATATGAAATAAGATTATGAGAGCCATAATTGTCCTAGTATAAGAGTAATTGATGCTATATAGATATTACAACAGTTGCCAGTGGAGTTATACTTTTTCCTTGTATTGTTTCAATGATTTTCCATTCTTTTTTTTCCGGATCATATTCCTCTATATCTGCAGGATATTCATTTCCACCAATGACATAAACTTTCCCATCAATCACACAACTACCGAACTCTGCTCTTGCGTTTTTCATTGGTTTCAACATCATCCAGGTTTTAGTTACAGATGAACGAAATTCAACAGTAGTGAGAAGTGATCTTCCATTAACATTATAACCTCCCATAACATATATTCCTTTCCCTGCTGCAGTTGCGGAAGCCCAATATCTTGCTTTATTCAATGATCTATTATCCATTGACCAAGTTGATGTGACAGGATCATAAATCTCAACTTGTTTTGTTGCTTGATATTGCTGCTCAGATTGTCCTGCAATACAAAACACCTTTCCATCAGCAGACACCAAAGATTCACGAGCTAGAATCAATGATTTGTTCGTAAGTCTGGTCCATTCATTATTTGATGGATCATATCTTTCCATAATGTTTGAGTGCTTTCCATACTCAATACCATAAACAAAACCATCAAGTGCAACTACACATGCATTCTGAAGATTTGTATTTGTCATTTGTTCCCACTTTGCATTTGATTCAGCATATTCGAGTCTATAAAACGATCAATTTTCACAAATCACATAAATGTAAGATTCCATCACTACAGCAGAATATAAATTCTGTATAATTGCTTGATCTATGGTTTGCATTGGTGTCCATGTTTTATCATCAACATCATGAGAATGCATTCTTTGAGAAGTTTCGTCAAAAACAACAAGCTGTTGATTCTTTGTTAAATTAAATCTTTTGACTGATATTCCCATTGCTGTCCAGGATTGATAAAGTCAGTGAACGAATAGTTTGCAAGATTCGAATATACAGTGGTTCATTTTCAACAAGAAATCTTCTATATGACAAAGTCATTTTTGTCAACTGAAATTTCATCACCAAACTAAGAAAACATTCTTTCTTTCATCAATATCATGTTTGGTCCATGCTAACAACATCTTACATTTCCTTCTTCCTTTGCTTTTGTTTCCTTTGATTCCATCAGAAATGAAATGAATTTTTCATCAAGATCCATAAACTCATCAGACTGGGCAATTTCTATAAAACGTTGCAATGCAAATTGATTGCATTTTTCCTCAAGTTGTTTACAGTTGTACCTATTCGCAATTTTTTTAGTTTGAAAAAACGATGTAGGATCAAGATCATCTTCCAGAAAAATTGCGATACTATCACAAAGTCTTTGCAGCTGCATCATGTGAGCGACACCCATGAGTGTTTCACGTTTTTCTTTGGCAACATAAGCATCCCCAGTGTAAATGAAATCAACACATTTTTTAACACAAACTTCATCAAATTCCTTTATCTCAACGACACCAGATTTTGTTTCAACATTTTCATGAGATAACATTGCTTTAAAATAATCGGAACTTGCCGACACAATATTCTTATGAACAGAAAGTTCCTCAGATCCAGCTTTGATCATGAAATCACAATGTCGTCCAGTTTTACGATATTCATTTAATTGTTGTAAGATTTCAACAGCATGTTCTTTAGAATCTGTATTGATTTTTTCTTCCATTTCTGAGACTTTGTCCGACAATTTAAAGTACTGCTTATGATTATACCACTAATAATAATAATACCTTAAAAAGAGAAACAATAATTAAACTAAAGACTTTACGGTCCATCACATGTAAACCTCTGGAGGAAAAAGGAAGGACTCATTTAGGTTAATTGCTTCATGAAACAATGATTACAACAAAAAAATAAACTCTAACGAGAAGAAATGCAATAAGTACACAACCACAATGGCGAAGCTATTGACTGCTTAATTTGTGTCACATAAAGGTCAATGTCAAGATGTGACAGTTCATAACCTTACAACTCTCAGTTATGGAGTTTGTAGATTTAAATATCAGTTTGAAAGATAGGCCATGCATATTTCTTCGGTCAAGAAATCGCTGAACAAAAATGAACATTTACTAATTTTAATATAAGTATATAATAAGTATAAGTTTATTTCGACTCCATAATCCGCATAACAATACATTTGACAGATAAAAACAAATAAATAAAAACTGATTATGAAATCAGGGGAGCAAACGAAACCTTAAATAAGGTTTATAACGTACAAAATATTAGATGGAAGGTTTTGCCAAGAGGAAGTGGTACGTGTTTACTCACCTAAAATTATTAAGTTATTTCACACACGCTCACATGCACCCACCGGCCACCAGCCACACACACACACACAACCACTGAGAAGTTATTTAAGTAAGAATAGAACGCGATAAATTTAGGGTATACTATGCAGTAAACAAAAAAATAAATACTAGAAAAGAAAAAAATTTTGCCACACCATATTGATATTTTTGTAATGGTTGCCATTGCCAAATTGATCGATCATCTAATCGTTAATTAAAATATAAAAGGAAGATTCTATTGAAAACATATTGCCAAGCTGATTATAGTTGGAGTCAAACGCCAAGTTGCCAGAATTGGGTGCATGAAGAGGTGGGCGAGACCATTTCATTCCCCGAATTAGAGCCTATTATTGCCAAATTGGTTCCATTACATTTGAACCCACGTACATTTGAACCCATGGCAATTGCACCTGTATGCTATTGCACCTATGGAATTATTTTTGTTTTTCGGATAGTTGAACCCACACTAACCCTAACCCATGGGTTTTAGCACCCGCATATAGATTGAACCCGTGGATATACACATGGGTTCAAATGTACGGTCACCTGCCAAATTATAGTCCAGATTGTAATAAGTAATTAAAGTTACCGGTAACAGTAAAATTACTATAATTAAGTAAAGAAGGAAGGATATGGAAATAAATTGGTTACAAAGGGTGTAAGTGAGGTTTTTCATTCTTGGGTATTGATTTCAGACAAGGATATATGAATAAGGTTGTTATTTCACAGGATATCGGGGTCTTTGTTTGATTTTTTCCTTATGTGTTTTACTACATTTAATCACTTTGAAGTAACCTGAAAAACAAAAAGTAAACTGCGAGTAGATGTTTTAATGATTGGGTGAAGGGGAACGCGCTGAACTATTTATTACAGGAAAAAAATAATTGTTTAATCAAATGGGATGTATTGTCATTATATAGCGATGGATAGATGATCTATGGTGACATTCTGCTTGGGACAGAGAAAAATTTATCACACCATGCAAAAAACACAAAATTTCACTATCTATACCTTGGCCAACAAGTCAACTCTAACACCAATACCATGCCTTAACATAAAATGCATGCATACATAAATGATATAAAAACCACATCCAATTACAATGACCCACAGCAAATTAAAATCTGAAGAGGAGAATCCAACATAGGGCAACCTTAAAATGCGGGAAACGGGAACGACGAGAACTGCACTAAAATGCGGGAACGACGGGAAATTGCGAAAACTAAAATGCGGGAACTACGGGAAATTTCACTAAAAAGCGGGAAAATTCACAAAAAGCGGGAATGACGGGAAATCGCTTTAAGGTACGGGAAATATTCATTTTGGGGTATGTTTAGGGGAAATTGTTCTAGAAAGCGAAAGCAATAGTAAATATACGCTTGGGGGTGTATGTACGTGAAAATTTATCTAAAATGCGGGAACGACAGCAAATCGCGTTAAAGTACGAGAAATACTAATTTCAGAGTATGTTTAGAAGAAATTGCACTAGAAAACGGAAGCAACGGGGAAATATAGGCTTGGGTTGTGTCGATACATAAATTTCACTAAAAAGCGAAAAATTTCACAAAGAGTGGGAGTGACGGGAAATCGCTCTAAGATACGGATAATATGTATGTTAGTACAATTACCCCGTACATGCACACTCAAGTATAAACGGCACTATAACGGCAGTATAAACAAGATGACGCACAGCCTGAACCCTAACCTGGTATACATACTATGTTCGGGTTGTGCGTCATCTTGTTGCACATACTTCGGGAGCGCCGTATAAACTTGCCGTTGCTTTTGCTATTCAATGCATATTTACCCCACACATACTCTAAAATGCGGGAAACAGGAATGACGGGAAAATTTACTAATAAGCGGGAGAATGTTACGAAATACGGGAAAGAGGGGAAATTGCTCTAAGATAGGGAAAATATGCATTTTAGAGTGTATGTAGGGGAAATTTCACACAAAGTGGGAATGACGGGAAATTGCTCTAGGATGGGGGGAAATGGGCATTTTATTGTTGTATGTACGGGAAATTGTACTAGAAGGCGAGAGCAACGGGAAATATACACTTGAACGTGTAGGTACAAGAAATTGTATTAAAAAGCGGAAATTACGGAAAATATTACTCATGAGTAGGAACTATATGATATTTTGGGAAATTTTACTGAAAATTGGGTGGGTATAAGGGAAATTCTCTAAATAAGCGGCGATGACGGCAATGAAAAGCAAACGTATTGACAAATGACGGGGAGAGCCGGAAGAGTAAGAGCATCGCGTAAAAAATAAATAACATGTATTTAGCTGTTTTATATAGAAAATTGCAACAAAATACGTAAGTATTGAAAATGGCGGGAAAAGCGTAAAATTGCGGAAAAGGCGGGAAGAGTAAGAATATCTCGGGAATGCGGAAAATAAGTATTTAGGTGTTTTATATAGAAAATTGCAACAAAATACGTAAGTATTGAAAATGGTGGGAAAAGCGTAAAATTGCAGGAAGAGTAAGAATATCTCGGGAATGCGGAAAATAAGTATTCAGGTGTTTTATATAGAAAATTGCAACAAAATACGTAAGTATTGAAAATGGCGGGAAAAGCGTAAAATTGCAGGAAGAGTAAGAATATCTCGGGAATGCGGAAAATAAGTATTCAGGTGTTTTATATAGAAAATTGCAACAAAATACGTAAGTATTGAAAATGGTGGGAAGAACGGAAAAGGCGGGAAGATTGAGAAAATCGCTGTAAAACAGGAAGTTTATATTTAGGTGTTTTCATACAGGACATTACAATAAAATGCGAGATTCGGGAAGAACAAGAAATCTATGTACAGCCAGGGTTGTCCAAAACGAATCGAATATTCGAATGTATTCGAATATCAAAGTATTCGAATACCTTTTCTGCTGATTTTCGAATAATTCCGAATAGTAGCCACTTTTCGCCGTAAACGTGGTGTTTCGTTTTACGGGAATCTTCAAACGACTTTTTACGCTGTCTCACGTATTGTAATGACGATGAATTAGAATCGGCACTTTGATTGTTTATATTCTGTGCGACCGTACGTCGCATAGTGTTGCGACACATTTGCAGGTTTGCGTGGGTGGACATTGCCGACATTCGTCTACGGGGCTTCTATTTACAAATTCATTTCCATTACGTCGAAAAATTAACAATTACCGTATTTCCCGGCTAATAAGTCGCTTTTCTAGGCCACCGAGATAAAGTGATTTGTGACCCTTTCGTTTTGCCGATTCAGCGGAACACGACAGGAAAACACAGCTGTGAAATAACCCGTGGACGTACAGTGTATTACTTATCACATTCCCAAATTATTTCAACATTCGGGTTAAAAGGTTGTCCAAAATGATTGCCGCTTTACAACTTAAATTTACCGCTCAATTGTTAAAAATAGTTAATTCTGTGAGTATGATTTTACCAAACTAACATGATCTGGTTCTAAACATATAAAATTATTAGCGCATATCAGCATAACTGAACAACAGGGACACAGTTTTTCTACCCGTCTTATTGGAGGTCTATATGGAAAAAACCCTTTTTGGAGTGCTAAAAATAGACATCGTCCTATTTGCCATGTGGACTTATTAAGTTATTAGCCGGAAAATACGGTATTTATAGCCGTCATTGTTACGATATCCAATAAATTGTCACAAGTTGGAAAAACAAGTCGGTTTATTAGAAAATAATTTCTGATAACGATAGTTAAAAGTATCGATCCTTTACCAGGATGATTTTTTGTTGCGCAAAATAATCCAATCCATGACTGGTACCAGCATTTAAAATGTCATGCCGTATTAATTTAATTCTGTTCAGTGTAACTCATGGTTGTATCGACAATCTGTGGACATAAAATGTGTGGTAAACTGACCGATTTTATTAAAAATTTAATTCATATTTTATATTGATAAAATAATGAAAGTATTAATACCAAATACCACGGATATTTGTGGACATGAAATACGTGGTAAACTGCCCAATTATAATTTCGGATTCGTATTTACAAAATAATTAAACTATTATAATTCTAAAATGCAACGGCGATCTGTGATCTTAAAATGTGTGGTAAACTGCCCGATTTACCAACATTTGAGTTATGATAATAGAATTAAATTAACACGGTAAGGCATTTTAAATAGTGGTATCGGTCATGGATTCGAATATTTTGCGCAGCACAAAATCATCCTAGTAAAAAGTCCATACTTTTAAATACAAACCAATGGCAACCATTATCCAAATTAGTTCCCAAGAGCGGGATAAAATATAAATTCTTTTTCTGACGTGTGACAATTATTCGTGAGTACGAAAATAAGAATAAAAAACTAATTATATTCGGCACAATATCACCGCAATCTGTGGACATAAATTGTGTGGCAAACTCGCGATTAATATTAATTTTTGATTCCTATTTCCATATTCACAAAATACAAC